GAAGTAGCGCTCGTGACCCTGTCCACGGACGCGGGCTGGGCCCCACACGTCCATGTGAAGCGTCTGCAGCGGGGCCACTGTCGGAGGAAACTGGGAGGAGTGAGGGGTAGCCCGCTGCCGCCCCTCGACACAGGGGACGCAGGTAGGGCCAGGCCCTAGAGGAAGGGGAGGGAGGGACCGGGGAAGACGAGAGACAAGGACACGGGAGGCCATGCTCCGGAGACGAAGCAGGGAGTGGTGACCAAGGCGGTGGTGCCAGAGGAGAGTCTCACGAGACAAGAGGCAACACGAGCAGGGGGCAGACTCAGGACCAGACCTGGACGCTGCAGCTAACACCTGACCCGACGCAGCTACCTGACCAGACGCAGGGACTGGAGGAGACACAGTGGTCAGTGTGTAGAGGCTCGACCCCGGCCGACGTGTAAACGTGGCCAGGTGTCGGCCTGTCCGAGCGTTCGTGCAGTGGGTCACCCGCTGACTCGCACAAGTGAACTGGCGAACCCCCGCATCCTGTAGGTCAGCACCACTCACCGAGTTCGTAGAGAACGAGGGGAGGTAAAGACCAGACAGGGTGCCAGAGGGGGCCACCGGACAAGGGAGGACAGTGGAGAAGTGAGCAAGAACAGGACCCCCAGAGGGGTCTGCCAGGGAGACCGCAACTGGCCGACCAAGCGTCGTGAGTGTGGTGCGGTCTCGAAAGAAGGAGCGAGAAGCCCCCGAGTCAAGTGTGAAGGTGTGGGAGGCCGAAGCCGACGCAGTACCTGAGAGTGCAGACTCACCAGTACCGGAGGAAGCAGACGCACTAGCACCTAGAGCAGCAGCCTCGCTAGCACCCAGAGCAGCAGCCTCACCAGCACCTAGAGCAGCAGGCTCAATGCCCGGGTCGGGCGGGAAACACCGGTAACAGTCACCCTCATCACTAATAGACACAGTATACATAGCAGCAAGAATAGCATCAAAGTCAAGGTCAAAGATAGCTACCCCTGCCCTAGACAACTCGCCCCAGCGAGGGATCTCAGTGGCCTCAGGGAACTAGTGACGCCAAGCGTCTGTCAGGCGGCCAAAGCAGCGCTGGGTGGGGTGCGCACCCCCACACTGCTCACCCGCACGGTCGCCGGTGCGCAGGACGTAGGTGCACGGACCAGTACCCCCACCCCGCTGGCGTGCAGCGTACCACTCACGGAGCTGCTGAGGGGACAGGGTCTCCCTACTGCGCTGCTGCTGCTGGCGCTGACCACCACTGGAGCCACTCCTCTGCGAAGAGCCACAACCTCCTCCTCCTCCTCCTCCTCCGCCACCGCCTCCTCCACCTCCGCCACCTCCACCACCTCCGCTCCCACCGCCACCGCCGCCGCCGCCTCCGCCTCCATTGCCGCCGCCGACACCTCCACCCCCGCCACCACTCCCACCACCACCCCCACCCCCTCCACTGCCTCCACCGCCGCCTCCACCGCCGCCTCCACCGCCCCCGCTAGCTCCTCCAGCGCCCATGCCCCTCTTGCCCTTGCCAGAGCGACGCTTCCCAGTAGGGGTAGACGCCGCACCGTCCGACTCCAGACCAACGAGGTCGGCCGCAGCAGCAGAGGGAATAGAGGGCAAAAGAGGGGAGGGGGAACACCCCTCAAAGATGGGGGTGCGAGGGTCACCACGAGAGGCTCCTACAGCTACTATGCTCTTTTCTGCTGCTAGGAGGGCCTTCTCGAGGAGGTCAACAGTGAGAGTGGTGGGGCAAACTGAGAGGAAGTGGTCCCTGACTACGCGAAGGGAGTCAGGGAGACGGGTGACTATGTAGTAGAGGGTGATGTACATGGGGGGGGGGGGTTCTTGGCGCAGAACTCAGCAGGAAGCGCAGCGCGGTAGCTAGTGTCACTAGTGCGGAGGTGCGTAATGAGGTCAGCGACTGTGGGAAAGGTAGCAAGGTCAGGAAAGAGGTACGGTAGCATGAGGCGGCTCAGTGCAGCAGTGGCAGGGGAGGAGTAGCGTGCAACTACAGCGTCGTACAAGGTCTGAGCACTCTTGTACTGGCTAAAGTGCGCACGCTCAGAGGTAGGCAGGTGGCGAGGCACAGCAAGACGTGCAGCAGCATTGAGCGTGGCCCACTGTGAGCGAACAGTGGCTTCAGCATCAGCAGCGGGGGCAGGAGAGGCACCAGAAGTGAGGTCAAAGAGGGAGAGGCCGTCTGCCCTATCGCATTGTAAGAAAAGCTGCAGGTCATCTATCCAGACGTCAAAGTCAATGACCCGACCCTCAGCGTCAAAAGCGAGGACACTAGGGGTAGCCATGACAACAGTAGACTAGCAGCGCAAAAAGTAGTCTGAGGGCAGTGCTGTGAAAGAGGCGCTGCTCTTACCGGACAGGGCGGCTCGCGCGGCTTGGCTGCAGGGCGGCTCGGCGGCTCGGCTGCTGGGCGGCTCGGCGGCTCGGCTGCTGGGCGGCTCGGCGGCTCGGCTGTTGGGCGGCTTGGCGGCTCGGCTGCTGGGCGGCTCGGCGGCTCGGCTGCTGGGCGGCTTGGCGGCTGGGCGGCTCGGCTGCTGGGCGGCTCGGCTGCTGGGCGGCTCGGCGGCTTGGCGGCTCGGCTGCTGGGCGGCTCGGCTGCTGGGCGGCTCGGCGGGGCAGCTGAGAGGGCGGCGTCCGGGGACGCTGGGAGGAGGCGGCGGGGCCGCTGAGAGGAGGCGGCGGGGCCGCAAAGGTAGGCAGCGGGGCCGCAAAGTTAGGTGGCGGGGCCGCAGGTAGGTGGCGGGGCCGCTAGTAGGTGGCGGGGCCGCAGGTTGGTGGCGGGGCCGCAGGTAGGTGGCGGGGCCGCAGGTAGGCGCCGGGGCCGCACAGGTAGGTGGCGGGGCCGCGGGTAGGTGGCGGGGCCATAGGTAGGTGGCGGGGCCGCTGGTAGGTGGCGGGGCCGGAGGTAGGTGGCGGAGCCAGCAGGTAGGTGGCGGGGCCAGCAGGTAGGTGGCGGGGCCGCACAGGTAGGTGGCGGGGCCGCTGGTAGGTGGCGGGGCCGCAGGTAGGTGGCGGGGCCGCACAGGTAGGTGGCGGGGCCGCGGGTAGGTGGCGGGGCCGCTGGTAGGTGGCGGGGCCGCTGGTAGGTGGCGGGGCCGCACAGGTAGGTGACGGGGCCGCGGGTAGGTGGCGGGACCGCTGGTAGGTGGCGGGGCCGTAGGTAGGTGGCGGGGCCAGCAGTTAGGCGCCGGGGCCGCACAGGTAGGCGTCGGGGCCGCAGGTAGGCGCCGGGGCCGGAAAGGGCGGCGTCAGGGCCGCAGGGCGGCGCGAGGGCCGCTGGGTAGGCGACGAGGCCGCAGGGCGGCGGATCGGGGCCGGGTAAGGGCGGCGCGATGGCTGCGGGGTAGGCGACGAGGCCGCCGGGCGGCGAGTCGGGGCCAGGAAGGGCGGCGCGAGGGCCGCAAGGCAGGCGATAGGGCCGCTAGGGCGGCGCGACGGGGCGAGAAAAAAAAAAAGGGGGGGAGCGCGACTCGGGCTAGGACTGGGCGCGCTCCGGGCAGAAAAAATGTCGAATTGGTGGGCCCTAGGAACAGTTCCCACGAGGGAACCTGCTCGATACCATGTTAGAAAATAAACGAGAAATGAATGAACTATGAATGAATGGGGTACAAGTACTAACCCTAATTGGGTTGTACCCCTTATGGGCTACTCCACTATAGCCTACACAATATGCATGAGCTATGATATTCTAACAACGGGAAGGGAGGGGAGAGAGATGGCGACAGGAAGGGAGGGAAGAGAGAGAGGGCGACGGAAAGCGAGGGGAGAGAGCGAGGGCGACGGGAAGGGAGGGGAGAGAGAGAGGGCGATGGATGGATTAACTGCACGAAAAAAACAAAAGAAAAAGGCTAAAATGGGTCGCGGTAACGCGATAGCAGAGGGAGAACAAGACGGCGACGAGAGGACAAAGGAGATATAGTTGCAAAACGAGGGAACGAGAGGGTGAGTGAGAGGGCGACGAAGTGGAGATGCAAAGGGAGAATCGAAGGGCGACGGGAGGCCGATTCGAGGAGAGGCGACGGCTCCGAAGTGGAGGGGGAGAGAGGAAGGACGGTCGGAAGGCCGATTCGAGGCGACTTACCGAAATCGCGACGGAAACGAGGTGGCTCGTGGGAGAAAGGAGGGGAAGGCTGATTCGCAGGCGAGTAGGGGGTGACGATTCATACTAAGCTAATATATTACGCATGTGAGCTAAGTCGATAGTTACGGCACGTGCCTAGGCCAGTAAAAAATAGGTATTCTCAGCTATTCTATGCTACTTTGTGACTGAAAATCAGCTAGTTGTGAACCCAGTTCCAACTTGAAGTGGAAGTTCGCCCAGCGATGGAAACCATCGCTGGACAACGGTCGTGTGGGTGCAGCATGTAGAAATGCGACGGCGTGCCGTGTGCCCCAAAAATCGTTTTGGCGGGATCCAGAAAATTTCACGGAGGCGTGAGCCAATCAAATGAGTTCCCTCTTCCTACTCTTGTTTCGAACAGTGTTGTTTCCGCCGAACTCATCGCAGCGATTTCAAGCTGGGACGGCCTTCACAATTTTATATTTCGGTTTTAAGTCAATAGGAACAACTTGGTGAATTGCTTCTATAAGTAGAGTATTATGTACTCCATCATAATGCTTGTAACATACAGAATACGACGCTACGCAACCTTACCGACGTTACATCGAATCTTGTTTGCCTATATCGAATTGTCACTGCCAAAGAACTAACAACAAACCTGGAGTGTCATTATATACAGTAGTACCGTAAGTCGGATAAGGTTTCACTTCGTTCATTTCCACATCCATTCTACCCATGGACTGCAGGAAAGAACTGATCCCAACTACAAATATCCTCGCCAAATTTGACATGATACGGTACATAAATACGAAAGGGGGATTGTTGTGTGCATGCATGTAGCCCACTCATCCAAGGAGGTGGAACTGGGCATGGTCAATCGTGAAAAGAGATTTCCTGCCATGACCCGATGTACGAATTCTCCTTTCATCAACCACACCATCCTCTACACTTTTAGTACAGCACCCCTTTTCCCCTGCTGCTTGAGCCTGCTGCTGCCATCACGACTCGGTCTCACAACCTTGGCTTGTTCCTCCTCCTCGTCATCACTCAGCGACCTCTGCAGCTTGCTTTTGGGCTTCTCCCTGCTCTTGGAGCTCCCCTTGTTCTCACTCCCCCTCACCTGTCCTACATCATCATTTTCACCGGATCTCTGCCCATCAGGTCTGCCCCGCAGCCTGCTCTGTTGCTTGCTGCCATCCAAGGACGCACTGACAGCAGTGCAATGCTGGAAAGGGTTTGTTTTTCGGGTTTGGTTCCTCGGCGGCCCATCTCCAAGGTCCGAAACCAAGGCAGGGTTCGGCACTTGCGCCTGTATGGGGTCATGCCTCTCAACCCTTCCTCGCTCCAAACCATCCCCCTCCGCTTCCCATTGCCACCCTCTCGTTGCCTCCACGTCCTCCCCTTCACCCTCCTCTTTCCATGGCGTCTCCTGCACCATGCGCCAATCCTCATCCCCCCCCACCCACTGCGCATTCTCTCCCGCTCCGGCCATCCCTCCAACTCTCTGCACATGCACACACACACCGCCATGCGAGCCCACACGAGCGTGCCGCGAAGCCCGCTCATCACATGCCGCACGCTGGGGAAGGTGGCAGTCAGGGAGCGACTCGGAGGGAGCAGGGCGGCGGTCGAGAGTGCGAGAGCGACGGTGGAGCACCGTGAGACCGTCCACCATGGCATGCTCCGCTATAGGATGTTGCGCCATCGGTTGCAACGCACGGGGGAAGGGCGCACGGGGGAAGGGCGCACAGGGGAAGCGGGGGGAGGTGGGGGAAGGGGATGCGGGGTCCAGGGGGGAGGCTGAGGAGGGGGGAGAGGTTTGCGCCACGGCGGAGCGCCTTCCCCCGTGCGCCCTTCCCCCTTGCGCCTTTCCCACGGTCGTCCCGCGGGGGGAATCACTGTGGTTGGCGCCGGGTCCACCGGGGCTGCGCCTATCGCGGCGTTGGCGGGTGTGACTAGCAGGCGACGCGTGGTGGTTCCTCGCTGATAATGGCAGCTCGGCCACGTCATCATCATCGCCTGCGTCGCAATCAATCACAAGGGCTGCGGGCCGCGGGATCTGACGGCTCAGCGTCGTCGTCGACCCTCTCGCCCTGTCGCTTGGGCGCTGCGGCTGCGCGTGGAGCATGGCCCGCGTGTCGGAATCAGCGGCGACTGCGGAGGGCATGACACGTGTCAGCGTCGTCGAATTTGCAAAGCTGGACTCTCTAGCCGCCAGATCTGGGTCCGAACCGCTCTTTAGTGTCCCGCGAGTCGCGGCGCGTCCGCCGGACGAGCGCGGCGAGGGGTGATGGGGAGCGCAAGAGGCGGGCTCGGCGCGCTGCCCGCCAGGGTTTGTCACTGCGCGGGGAAGCTGCAGTCGCGGCGAGGGATGATGGGAAGAGCCGGAAGAGGCGGGCTCGGCGAGCTGTCCGCCAGGGCCTGCTGCTGCGCCGGGAAGCTGCAGTCGCGGCGCTTCTCGCGGCGACAAATGATGCGACGGACGAGTGACGTCGGTCCGCGCCCTCGGGATCGCCAAGCGATCGAGCGACTCGCCATGCCACGTGTCGTTGTGGCGCAGTTGACGGGATTGGGGGACTGCGAGTCTCGTCGCCGCGGCGCCGCCCATCTCGGAGCTGGATCTCGGGCCGGGCCGCGAGCGTGCCGCTGCACACGCGTCGGCGGATGACGAAGCATTCGCCGTACGAGCACTAGCCGCGTCGAGTTGATCGGATCTTCGAAGGTTGTTTTCGCGGGTTGTCTTCGCCGTGCGTCTCGGCGCCGCACTGCCGCTGCTGCTCCGGCGGACACTCGACGGCGGTTCGAGCGCCGAGGTACTCGCGGACTGACGAATCGCACTGACGTGGCCAGTGGCGAGAGTGTGGTAAGCCGGCGAGGGCGTCGACTCGTCGGAGCCACTAGGGGACCCTGCCGAAGCGCTGCCGCATGACCGGGAAGCCGCCAAACGCGGCGAGGCCGAGGAGGACGTGGAGCTACTTTTAATACTTAAGGCCGATGGAGTTCGAGAAGCACGCGAATTTGGCGTCGATACGTCGCATTCGTACCCCTCCGAGAACTGCAATGACAGTCGCGGCGGCCCTCGCCGGTGGCTCGGCAGTTGCTGACGTGGCGAAGCCTGCGCGCCTGTCGGGACCCATCTAGTCGGCGCAGAGGTAACTCGAATAGGATCCAAATCGTCCGCATTACACGGCTTGTCGTTGTCGAGCAGCTGCATCATTCGCATCGCCTTCTCCGCTAATTGTTTTCTCGGCCCGCCTTGATCGCTACTCAGCATGACCAATGACGCAGCCATGGCGACAGGCAGGTTCTCGCAACCAATAAAAAGTGTTTGCAAGCTCCGCAAGAACTGTGAATGGGAAAGGCTAAAAAGCGAAGCCGCAGCTGCACAAGAAACATCAGCTGCTGAGAAAGAAAAGAACAACGGAGGCAGCCATTCCAGCCATGGCAGCGTGTGCAGTGCAGCAAACATGCCGCTTGGAATGGTATTCTTGTATATGGGGGATTGAGAATGGCGGTGATGGGTCTGGCTGGGTTGATGCGGCAGAGGGGCAAGTGGCGGCATGTGAGGTGAGCGGGTGACTGAGGGGACTTGGGACAAACGAATCTTCTTTGTCTAGATTCGTGGACGATCGCGATTTTTGAGGATGTGGGGTGGTCGAAGCAAAGCGAATGCGAATTGAACGACGAGTTTCGGCGGTTGAGGTAACGGTGCGAAAAAACCTGGGTAGCAACTCCGTCGTCACCCGCAGCACGCGATCCCGATTGCGACAAATCTAGGCGCCTTGATTACGCTGACGACAAAGAATACTTGAAAGGCGACGAACTCCTCCATAGTCAACAATCTCAAGCAGTTGCATCTGAGATGTCCAGTTCAGTCAGTTCGCGCATAATGACGAGATAAGACGAGGAAACCTATAGTACACGCATAATGAAATGTAACGCCCCATTATCTTGATACCAGAATTAGCTCTGCCCTATATATCCATATGCAATATCACTTTTTACTGTGCAGTCCAAGAAGCAACCATACATTTCATTTACTTCAAGCTATTCTCCACATCGATGACAAAGCGATACTTCACGTCACCCTGCAAGAACACAACCATCCCATCAGAACAGTGCTGCAAGCAAACAGACACGTACTGCCAGTGTTTACTCTACCTTAAGTAAACGGTCATATGCCATGTTGATCTCTCCGATAGCAATTTTCTCAACCTGGGGAGCCACACCATTCTTTGCACAAAACTCCAGCATTTCTTGAGTCTCCTTGATTCCTCCTATCAAACTTCCTGCTACCATCTTACGCCCTGTGATACAGTGCCAGAGATAACAGTGAGTCATGAAGAGAGCAGACAAATGTGAAAAAATTGAACTACACTCCACGACGCGCAAGGCGAGCTCCACAGGCCTCACAAGCCTCACAATACAGGAAGCATGGAACCCCCTGCTGGTCTGAATGAGCATGAAAGCCACACACCAATGGCGATCTTTCCCCAGTGTGAATGCACTCACCAAACACAAGCTGACTGGCATGGAGAGTGAAGGGTGCAGGTGGGATGCCGAGGAGCAGCAGCTTTCCGTTGAACGTGAGGAGGTCGAGATAGGGCCCCAGCTCATGCTGCGCTGAGACCGTGTCGATGATGACGTCCAATGAGCCCGCTGCTGCCTGCTAGACCCACCAGCAAGAAAAGACAAGTAAGCAGGTTGATATATATATGTATATATATATGTATATATATATGTATATATATGTATATATATATGTATAAAACACCGAAAACCGTGGTCCGGCAACTAAAGAGGTGCCAATGCAAGAGCGGTGATAAGCCAGCCCACCTTCATGGCGTCAGCATCCTTGGTGACAATGAACCTGTGCGCTCCCATCACCTCCCTCGCCTCCCTCTCCTTGCCCTGCGATGTGCTCAGCACGGTGACGTGCATGCCAAACGCCCGCCCCATCTGCACTGCCACGTGGCCCAGCCCGCCCAGCCCTGCCACCCCCAGGCGCATGCCCGGCTTGTTGGCGCCGTAGCGCATCATGGGGGAGTAGACTGTGATGCCAGCGCATAGCAGAGGTGCTGCCACGTCAGATGCCAGCTCAGCAGGGATGGAGAGGACACAGCTGGGAGGGCAGGGCGCAGAAGGTGTGGGCATAGACAAGAATACATTGGAAGCTGAGGGGCTTTGCAAGAGCATGGGGGGCGACGACCAGAGAAGAAAGGAAAAAAAGATGATGATGCTGTGCATGATGAGGTGTGACAGAGGACTCGGGTCGAGGTTCAAAACGTACTGTTCATTGCAAATGATGAAGGAGGAGTAGCCGCCGTAGGTGGACTGGCCGGACGGCGAGAGCGGGTCGACAGAGTTGTACGTGAAAACACACTTGGGGCACGACTGCTCCTCGTGCTGCCTGCACGCCACGCACTCACCGCACGACCCCACCATGCACCCCACGCCCACTCGCTGCCCCGCTGCCACCTTGCTCACGTCCGCTCCCACCTGCACAACCACTCCTATGATTTCGTGGCTGCACGAGAAGCAACGTAACAAAAGAGTGACACAAAGAGAGGAGGTGAAGCGAGAAGAGCGACCGCAGCTGAGCACGAGGCGGTAGCACACTGGACAGAATAAGAGGAGCGTACTGAAGAAACGTGGGGAAGATTAGCTCACCCGGGAACGATGGGGTACATGGAGTTGCCCCACTCGTTCCTCGCCAGGTGCACGTCGCTGTGGCAGACGCCGCAGTGAGTGATGCGGATCTTCACGTCCCCGGGCCCCACCTCCCGCCGATGGAACCTCCATGGCGTCAGCTCCCCACTCGCGTCGCGCGCAGCGTAACCCACGCAGTTACCCTCGCCTTCTGCAGGAGCCATTGACGGGCCGTTTTAGTCCCTTGACTGGAGCTGTTGCTAAGGCGAAGCAGGGAGAGGAGAGATTCGAGTGACTTTACTTGGGACGGGGTGGGAAGACGACGTGAATATGACGATGAGGTTGTGGCACGCCATCTCATGGTGCTTAGACGAACGTGAACAGGAGGTGAAATTCACGCCTCTGGTTTGCATATGCCACGTGGCGAAGCGAAAATGGCTGGGACTGGAATAGGAATTCCCTCGCGTAAACAGAATGGCTTCGGGGATGACTAGCGTCGTCAACGAGGTATGGCGTTGCGATGCGGCACTTATGATCAGCTGTCTCGACAAGTGGAAGGAGCTATCTCGATTCGTGAATACCCAAGAGGGGATGGATGTGTTTTCGGCAGGCTTGGGGGGATGCAGCACGTACACCGGAATGCGGTTCAGTTGGGTTTCCTTGGTTTTGTAACGTTTCTAATTAGATGCCAGAGAAATCAAAGCGCGATAATGTACATAAAAAAGGAACTAGTTACACATTTGACAATTTAAATTCCAGCAATATCTTGCACCGAGTAGCAACTCAGCACTGTCCAATCAATTCTAAACCAGTAAAAATCTACACGAGTGTGTAGGCTTCTCCAGGAACACAAGCAAAATTGCACTGCAAGCGACGTACAATATGCAAAGGAGGCTGGAAACCTAACTTTCATCACTCTAATTTGTGGCAGTCAGATCCTTGAGACTGTTCTCTACATCAATCACAAAGCGATATCTCACGTCACCCTGCAAAACCAATCAAGCTCAACAAAGAATGGAAAGTAAAAGGTAGCATCGGGAATAAAAACGACACACACGGTGTTTTGCAGTTTGCACTTGTGAATGTATTCCTGCCATAATGTTAAGTATCGTACCTTCAGCAAACGTTCGTGTGCCTTGTTAATGTCTTTGATGTCAAGCCTCTCCACTATGGGCGCCACACCCTTCTTTGCACAAAACTTCAGCATCTCTTGAGTCTCCTTGATTCCTCCAACCAACCCACCCGCAACCATCTTGCGCCCTGTCATGCCACCAGGCAGACATGCAGCAACAGCGCACAGAAATGGAAGACAGGCAACGATGATGAGCCAACCAGATTAGTTCCATGGAAGTTTGCAATAAAATAGGCAAGAAACGGGAGCCAGGCAGGGGCCAGGGGCTGAGCTCAGCCTAGAGCGAATGTTGCTTGCTGAAGCTGCGCAAACGGCACTCCGATGGATAAGTTTCTCACGCAGTAGTGTGATTACCGAATACAAGCTGGCTTGCACGGAGAGTGAAGGGGGCTACAGGAATGCCGAGAACGAGCAGCTCCCCGTTGAATGTGAGCAGGTCGAGGAAGGGCCCCAACTCATGCTGCACCGGCACCGTGTCGATGATCACATCCAGTGAGCCCGCTGCTGCCTGTGCACAGACAAACAAGAAGCGACCAGGAAGGTTGAAGGTGTCTTTCTGGTTTTGGGGAAACATAACAGATATACTGGAATGGGAGTAATGGAACCCAATGTTTTCATGCCAAGCAGTGTCAACATGAGCAAACAACAACCACCCACCACACAAGACCCACCTTCATGGCGGCTGCATCCGTGGTGAGAATGAACTGGTCAGCCCCAAACAGCTCCCTAGCGTCCCTCTCTTGCTCCGGCTGTATGCTCAGCACCGTGACGTGCATGCCAAACGCGCGCCCCATCTGCACTGCTACGTGGCCCAGCCCGCCCAGCCCTGCCACCCCCAGGCGCATGCCCGGCTTGTTGGCGCCGTAGTGCATCATGGGGGAGTAGACTGTGGTGCCAGCGCACAGCAGGGGCGCTGCCACGTCAGATGCCAGCTCAGCAGGGATGGAGAGGACGAAGCTGGTGGGGAAGGTTGGGGAAAACGGAAACAAGACGGCAAGATAAGAAAAATATGTAAGAAACTGCAGAGGACGGGTTTGTGAGAGGGCCAACAGGGTGGCATATGTAGACAAAAAGAGGGAATGACGGCGTAAACTCTGAGAAGAGCATGACGGACATGTTTAAACAATGATAAACACATGGCTAAAATAGAATGGACAAGTAACATGGTTACACAACAGAGCAGAGCGACGTACTGCTCATCGCAAACGATGAAGGAGTAGCCGCCATAGGTGGCCTCGCCAGACGGTGAGTGAGGGTCAACGGAGTTGGAGGTGAAGAGGCACTTGGCGCAGAACTGCTCCTCGTGCTGCCTGCACGCCTCGCACTCCCCGCACGACCCCATGATGCCCATCACTCCCACCCGCTGCTCCACTGCTACCTTGCTCACTTGCGCTCCCACCTCCTCCACCACCCCCACGATCTCGTGCCTGTAACGAGAACAAGCCATTTGAAGGAATGAAAAGAAACGTTGAGTGAACTTCAAGTTTCAGACAGACAGAAGGCGGGATGAGAGTCATGCTGCAAGTGAGATGGAAGATTTCGGACGAAAGATGCGATCGCGTGGAAGGCAGCAAGAGAAGAGAAGAATGGCGACGGGGAGAGGGACGAGGTTGGTTGGAAAAAGATGGCAGGATGGACGCAGCGACTTGGAACGGAGCGGGAAGAGCAGCTTACCCGGGGACCATGGGGTACAGGGAGTAGCCCCAGTCATTGCGGGTGAAATGCACGTCGCTGTGGCAGACGCCGCAGTGAGTGATGCGGATCTTCACGTCCCTCCGCCCCACCTCCCTGCGATTGAATATCCACGGCGCCAGCACCCCGCTCGCGTCGTGCGCGGCGTAGCCCACGCAATTGCCCTCTCCCTCTTCGGGAGCCATGGACTGGTTGCTTGACAGGTTATGAGAAAAAGCGCGAGAGACTGACGTCGAACGCTTGGGAGGACGGCGAGGAAAGAGCGCGCCGGCATGAGACGTACAGTGGCCATAACGCGGCGGTACAGCGGACTCGGAGAGGGCGCGCGCGGGGTGCGCAGGCCGTGCGCGGTGAGCGTGAGAACGAGGAGGTGATTGTCACGCAACTGAGCGTCGGAATGAGTACCGTCGGACTGATCGAATTTGCGACACATGCGAAGCCTGAGCTAGGTTTGAGATTCCTCTGGGCCACATCTCGCAGATCGGGAGGGCCGAGGGAGGGCAGAGAATGACGTGCATGGTGTGGTCAAGCGAATGAGAAGCTTGCCTATCACATCATGGATGTCCCCTGGGAAACTCGGGGAAAAACGGAGTTCCCGAGGGAAGAACCTTGACACTGAATGGGACTTCGGATTTTGACGGAGTACGGTATTGCAAAATACGCACTATGCGCGTCATAGCGAACTCATTTTACACACAATGAAGCGCATGAACTTATTTCCTACCACTATTGTGCTTATCTGCTACAAATCGTGCTAAGCAATAAACGCTAGAGCGAGGATAATTATCGCTATATGCCAAAGAGATCCGAAAACGAGATTTCTCATTGCTGCCTTGGGCTCTCCAGAGGGAGCAGGCGGAGCTGGTGGCACACTAATGTCTCTGGGAATGGTGGCGCAATCAATACTCGTGCTCAAGGCAGTCAAGGGGGGGGCTCCCACATAGTCACCGGGAACAAATCTGTAGGGGCAGCAGGGTGAAGAAGAGAGAGAATGGTGAACACACAAATGGGTGCAATGGTGGAACCAAGATAAACAAATGGTCACGAGTAAAAGGAGGTGTATGCAGGGAAAGCGGGTGTGATGGCGGCACTCACATCAAGTGTTGCACGTCGCTGATGTTGGCGTAGGGAGTCTTCTGACCCGTGGCTTCCTCCAAGCACACTATGCTGCGATCGTACGCCGCCACCTGGCACACGTAGCCCCCACCTGCTGCCACCGGCCGCGAGAGCACGAGGCCACCTCTTGGAGGTGACTGGGGGAGGATAATGAGGACAAAGGGAGAAACAGGGGGGAATGATTTGGAATGCTCATCAACAACAGCCACTTGCGTGCTCACAATATATATGTGCAAAATATATACGTATATGAAGTGTAGATAGCTAGCAACTCACGTTTTCGCCCATCTGCTGCTCGAATTGCACGAAGGACTGCATGTTGCCTGCCGAGCACCCGCTGCCGCACTGCATCAGCTGCTGCATGTCCAGCCGCCCTATCACGCCGCCCTCCGACACGCTTATGTACACCAGGTAGTGCGGCGGCTGTGTGCGGGAATGGGTGATGAAAAAAGGATGGGGAATGGGGGAGTTGGGGAGTGGAGGACGGAGGAAGAGGAGGGGAGGGCAAGGAGCACTCTGCATGAGCTGCTGCGTGTTCAGCCACGCTATCACCCCGCCCTCCGCCACGCGAGATAGTGCGGAGGAGAGAAGAGCACGTCAATGTGCACCAGGTAGGAAGGGAAAGGGAAAGGGAAAGGGGAAGGGGAAGGGGAAGGGGAAGGGGAAGGGGAAGGGGAAGGGGAAGGGAAAGGGAAAGGGGAAGGGGAAGGGGAAGGGGAAGGGACAAATGCGGCCCGCCACGTGTTTCGCACCTTGGGAGTGAAGACCATCCTGAGCGGCGTGTAGTCCACGTTGAACGTCAGCGGCTGCCACGCTGTCACGTTGGGGCGCGGCCGCGGCGTGGGCTGCGGCTGCCCGTTGGGCTGCGCGGGCGGCGGCTGGACGGCACTCAGCTGCAGCATGTGGATGGCCTTGTTTGTCGCATCCAGCACGAAGAGGAAGCTCTCGTCCGGCGCCATGTACAGCTCGCCCTGCGCGCGCGCGGCGGAGGTGGGGGGAGGTGTGGGGGAGGAGGTGGGAGCGGGGTGGGGAAGGGAGGGGGGAGAGGAGGTGGAAGGGAAGGTAGGGAGATGAGGTGGGGGGCGAGAATGGGATCTAGAACGGGCTACTCCATTCGACCGCATGCCCCCACTGCTCCTGGTTCGTTTCCGTTTCTTCTCCGCACGACCTCCCCTTCTCCCGCTCCTTTCCCCACACCCAATCCACTCTCACTCTGCCAAACTCGCGCGCTATACTGCATAACCCCGCTTGTACAACAACCCCCCCCGCATATTTCCCCCCCCGAGGCGCTTACAGCGAACGGCCAGACGGCCACGATCCGGTTCGTGCGCGCATCGATCTGCACCGTCGCCAGCTTCCCCGCTCCCGCCAATCCATCCGCCACGCTCGCCTTCCGCGCGCCCGCGCCCGCCTCGCTCACACCGATCCCGATCCCGCCGTCAGCAGGGGAGACGGGGGAGGCGGCGGGCGGAAGCGCGCAGGAGACGAATGTGTGGCGCAGCACGCGCGCATACGCGCTGGAAAGCGCGCCGGGGCAGGCGCGCTGTGAGACGGCGGCAGCTTCCTGGAAGGAGAGGAAGAGCGCGGGCGCGGTAGAGGGGCGCGCGAGGTCGACTGTGTACACCCCCGATGATCCCGAGGTCGTCAGATAGCCGCGCGTGCCCAGGTCTGCGCATACAGTACAACGGGGGCAAGGGGGAAGGGGAGAGGGGAAAGGGGAAAAGGAGAAAGGGGAGAAGGGGAGATGGGTTGGCGGCAATCTCGAGGCAAGTTGCACGATCACCGAAGTGTGCGGGCAGGTGTGCGTGAGTGAAGGTGTGCAGGGAAGCATACGGGAAATTGGATGCTGGGAGAAGGGACTCACTGGGGCTCTGAAGCAAGCGCGCGCGCCCCGCGGGGAGCATGGTGTTGATTCCCTGGCTGTGCACCTCCGTGTACGGTGGCTGCGCCGACAGAATGGAGAACGAATAGCGGTCCGCCACGTCGGCCGCGTGCACCCACACCTCGTTCTGGGGAGCGGAGAGGAAGGACCGGGAAGGAAGGCGCGGAGGGGATGGATGGACAGGGAGGGAGGGTCGGTGATGCGCGGTGGGTGGTTGAACGGGACTAGCAATGCTGTGGTTATGGACGGCGGAAAGCGCCACGCGTTCACGGAACGGAGAGGCATGTTGTGCTTACAGCGATGGGAACGAAGTAAACGCTATCCGGCGTGTTGTTCAGCGACACTCGCGCCGTGACGTCCGCTGCGACCGTGTCGAACACGTGCAGCGCGTCCGTGAGTTCCGGCAGGCGAAGCGCGCCCGTCGTGCTGTAGCTCGCCGCGGCCAGCAGCGTGCGCTGCGCGGGGCCGAACGCCACGCTGCGCCACTCACCCCTGAGTGCGGCACGCGGTAGGTAAACGAGCGGGAAGGAGCGGAGTGCGCAGCGATGTGGATTCAAGAAATGCTCGTGCACAGAAGGGATGTGCGCGGATGCGGAGGACGCCGAGATTGGATTTTCAGAGGGGTTTCTTGGCTTGGAACTGTGCATCTAGGTATGAATCGCACCAGAAGGGGTTCCGCCGCACCCGAGGGGTTGTACAGTACAGTACCTGAAGGGGTGCGCTGGGCACTTGTTGGGGAAGGGCACGTGCCCCGATGGCCCCTTGAACGCGCGGAGCGACGCCAGCGGACTGCCTTTCGTCGGGTCGATTAGCACCACCTGGCGTCACGTGATTGGGCAGCCAGGGAGGGTAGGTAGGCAGGAATGGGGAGGGGAGAAGGCGTGAACGGAATAGCGACGATACGTGGCCGCCGTCACGTCGTTGAAGGCACATTATCTGAGGTGCCTATCCATCACCAGTCGTTAAATACCGACCACCGCGCACTCGCACCACTCTCCCCCTCTCGACCTCTCGCGCTTTCCCGCTCTCCAGCATTTGTACGGACTTAAGACTTTATCGCGACGGCAACGGTCGAGCTTGCAGCCGGTCAGTGTGGCGCCACTAAACCTCTACTTGATATTCTAACGGTTATTCGAGTAAGACGACAAAACGACTTCGTGATTTCAACGTCGTGTCGCGTCGCAGAAATTGTCTAGAAGTTGATATCACGAGCTTGTTGATATCGCGCCGTGGCTCTAGGATTTTTTTATGGATGACAGGCAGCCCATCACGTGAGGTGACACTTGCCTGGCCGTCGGCGAAGGCGTAGAAGATTCCGCGACTCATGGTTGCCACCACGTCGGCGTGAACCAGACGGCAGAGGCACACCAAACCGAAAAGCAACGACGCGGCTCGAATGACCTCTCGGGACGCCATGATCGGAAGTATTTGCAGTCAGACCGTAGTGATAGCAAGAAGTCTAAAAAGTACACAATTTCAGGAAGTATACCCCACACGAGCGTCTGAATACGTGCTCGCAAGGACTGTCAGAAAAGCGTACTGATATGTCGAGCTATTGTTGAAGGGATGAGGAATGAGCTGATTGCTCCACGAGGTGCAAAAGCGGGCTGGGGCGGAACATGCATGGGATATGGTTGGAAGGAGTTGCGCGTGATGCAAAACAATTTTGCGCCACTTTGCTGCTGGTGCGCTCCACACAGGCGGCTGCAGTGGGCAAAATGTGCTTTTGGCCGACCATCCGCGCGCTGCTGGTGTCCGAAATCCGCCTCTGCGCCGTTCAGGCGCTGGCTCTGGTGCGGATTGCGCGCTGCGGTACTCCAGAAGTGCTGGAATTGGCATGTCAATGGCGGAGCTGCCACCAAATCTGCGCGTCGTGGGACTCTAGGGGTGATGATTTGGCTGCCCTGGATCAGCTGACATGGCAATGAAGGTGGTTCTTCAACGCAAAAGCGCCTCGCCACATCATCATGATGCCACAGTAACGAGCCTGCTTGACCAGTGACTGGAGTCCCTTCGCTACAAAAAACTCACGTATCGTGCCGCGCCGCTAATCCAGGAATTGGACATTCGCATCGCGGGCGCTCTCCACTCCACCAATGGAGTCTCCTCGTGGAGGGACTTGGGGCGCACGCAATTCTCATTCCACCGCAAGCCGAGTGTGAGTGAGCGCTTGGCTCTGGTGTGCTTCGAGCAACCAGTTCGTGCTTTGCTTTGTGAGATGCCGGTGCTAGAGAGTCGCTCACTGGTAGCAGACAAGCAGAGTTTCTCGGGTCTTAGCGCTCCTCACAACTTCTCTTCAACAGACCATGTTGCCCACTGCCCGGTGAGCCCCCTACTGAATCTGTGAGTAGTGTGGATGCCTCATCTCGTTTTACCGCCTTCCTGAATTTTGTTTCTGCTCGTAGGCTTCCTCGTAGGTATTGTCCGAGTTCAAGGAGGCCAGATAGGCTTAGCTGGTGTAACCCCCCTACTTTGACATACCATCGACCTTTAATTGTCGCTCAAAGCTCGTGGAAAACATGGCTCCGCGGGTACCGTGGCAACTATTCCTATCTGCTGTAGTCGTGCTCGCGTCGCTCTGCTCGCTAAGTCGTGCTGACGTCACTCTTCCCGATCCACAGCGACCCGGCCTCTTCTATTTCTTCATGTCCGGACAGGTTAGTACGCACGGGTGCGCTGGATTGTTTTGAGCTGCCGCGGTCGCATAGCACAGATTCGCGCCGAATAAAATTCATTATATCCGTTGCCGCACTTCCCTTTAGCAACGGACGCAAAGCCCCACACACCGTGCAGCCGATGGCTAACTCTGTTCGCCGTAGTCACACTCTATCCGCTTGTGCCGGCCACTCTTCACCATACTTGCTCCGTGCCCACCGTCCGCCTCGTGCTTCCCTCGTGTGCGACAGATCGTGGTGGTGGACCCGGTGTCGCAGAAGGTGGTAACGAAGATCAACCAGACGTCGCAAGGCGCCCCCGCGCCCTTCCCCAACTCCTGCCCCGGCCACCCCATGCAGTAAGCGCCGTGCCTCCTCGCTCCAACTAGTAACCACCGACTCGATCTGCGAGACGTGCGGGGAGCGTTGTATGGTTCAATATAGAGCTAGAACTGCATTGAGTGCGCGCCTCGCAGTACGACAAGAGCTCGTCGCCAACCCTCGTTCTAGCTCTTAAATGCCAATTCAATTTCGAGCGACCACTCTTTCATAATCCCCCGCATTCCCACCCTCTCCCTCCCCCCGCCCTTCTCCGTCGTCCCCTCCTCTCCTTCCACGCCCCGCCCCCTCCCTTTGCCCCTTCCCCCTCACCTTCCCCGCTGAGCCCCCTCCCTTCCCCTCCGCAGAGGCACGTGGAACCGGCACACGACGGGAATCGATCAGCAGACCATCTTCATCACCGCCAGCTTCCAGCAGCCCACGCCGCTACGATTGCCGGGGTTGTCGGACATGGTGCTCGTCGTCAACACGTCGTCGCAGAGCGTCGCAGCGTCCGTCGCCGTGCCCGACATCCCCAACGACATCGTCTTCGTGCCTGAAGTGGTGAGTGCTGACGTGGTGTGGATTGGGGAGGGGATCGGCTTGTCAATAATGAAGGTCAACAGCACTTACAGTTATGGCCGAGATTTCGTGAGGGATTCAATGTGTTTGTCGCCCTACTTACTACTGTCAACTTCGTACACGAGTAATCTTCAATATCAAGGACAAGAGCGTGTTAACAACTTTCGTCTTTCGTAATCGAGCGCGCCACGAATTGAATCCGGAAACTGATGTACCCCTCGATACAATCACATTCGCAGGGAAGCGTGTTCGCCCACGCGGACGTCAACGGCACATTCGCCGTCATTTCCGCAGCGCCGCCGTACACCTTGCAGCGCGCGCGCTTCTCCTCCGAGTTCGCCGAGGCGGGCTACGGCCGCCTGCTCGCCGACTCCGGTACGCCCTCTTGCCCCTTCCGCTCCCAACCCGTATGCTGTGCCGCGCGGCTTGTCCTGCATGCGCACTTCACGCCGACCCCGCCGTCAGCGCCCCGTCCTCCGCATCCCGCTCCCGCCCCGCTTATCAATCTCTCCCCACCCCGCCACTCAGCACCGCTTTCAACCTCTTCACCTCTGTGCCGTCCCCCACCATTCCTTCCAATTCCTGCCCATTTTCGCCCATCCCCATCCCTTTCTTTCCCCCCATTTATCCACCCGTCCAACCGGCCGCAGCGCTGAACGGCAAGGCGTTTCAGACGGCGTCGCAGATGCCGGGCGTGTTCTCGCTGAACCTCTTCACGCAGTCGACCGACGTGCCGTTCCTCGACTTCACCCAGGCCATGCTGCAGTCCGAGCCCTGGCTGCCGCCCGACACGCCCATCTACTGCCCCGGTGAGATCTCGCTCGTGCGTTACCGCGTTCGCGCCCGTGTGTTGACCTGGTTAGTTGTCCTGGTGACATGACGCGCACATGTCTGTTGTACAGGTGAGATGACACGCTTGTCCTTTCCCGAACCCTCCCCCCCTCTTTCTTCCCCCCAGCGACGCGCGAGGCGGTGTATTCGGCGGTGAATCGGCGTGCGTACGTGTCGTGCGCCAAGGCGGGCAGCCCGCCCGACCCCAACGCGCCCGAACCGGGGATCGTCGAGATCGCGGGCGACGACAGCGTGCCCGTGGGGTACCTCAACTTCAAGGTGGGCGAGGGGGGAGGCGAGTTGAAAAGGCAGGGCGGGGGTGAATCGGGTGTGATCCGCAGGGAGCAGATGCGTCCATGCCACCCCTCACTGCACCGTCTCATCGCATCTCATCCGTGCGTTCCCTCCGTGTGTCCCTCCCAGGTGGACAGGCTGTACCTGATGCCAGATGAGACGTTCCTGCTGGCCGTGGACAGTCGGGCAAACGCTCACATCCCTCAAGCTCGCACCCTCTTGTCTCATCCTTGCCTCCCACTTCCGTGCGTCCCTCCGCGCCCCCCTCGCGCCCCCCTCGTTGTCCCCTTCCTTTCCCCCTCCCAGGCGGACAGGCTGTACCTGACCCCGGATGAGACTTTCCTGCTGGCGGTGGACAGCGGCGCGGGGGTGATCCGCATGGTGCAGATGCTGCCGGGCGTGGGCAGCGACCAGGTGTTCTCGCTGCAGTGGCCTGACGTCACTCTGCCGCCCAACTCCATGCCCGACAAGATCCTCTTCTACCCCAAGGTCAGCACCGTAGGCCCCCAGTGCCTTGACTCGAGCCTTCTCATACCTTGGAACCTCCTCTGCTCTGCTCCCACCATGCCACTCACTCCATCTCCTCCATGCCCACCACCTCTGTCGCCTCCCTCGCCTTCTCCCCTCTCTCAGGGGCTGTTCTACGTGGCGCTGGTGTCGCTGGTGCTGAGCTCTCTCCTCCACCTCCCTCCCTCCCCTCCCCCTTCCCCTCCCTTCTCCCCCCATCTAACAGGGCATGTTCTACGTGGCGCTGGTGTCGCTGGTGCTCAAGGACAGCACGGCAGTGATCGATTTCAACAAGCTGCTCGCGTGTGGCGCGCAGTGCCCTCAAGACAACATCGCTGCCGCCCTCACCTTCATTAACACCGGTTATCATGTAAGCTGCACTCCCCCCCGTTATATTACTCTCACAGTTTTGTATAGGCTGTTTACCATCTTACATTGGCCCATCCCACTGTACCCCTGTGCACTCATGGCGTGCCTATCTCTGGCTCCCTGCACTCCTCAATTCCCTCCTGCCCCCCTGGCCTCACACCCTTAACCAATCAGGTGGCGCCACGTGCCAACATGGATTTGAGCATATCGTCGCGGAGCTTGGCAGTGGGGCATCAGTTTGTGTGCGTGGCAGCCAATCACGACAAGGCGGTGCACTGTAGCAACCTTGTCAACCCGGCGAACAACAAGATCTACACCAACATGTTTGACGTGCAAGATATAGTGTAAGTGGGCTGTGTCTCCCTTCCAATGCTTCACACGCAAGTGCGACACCAGCTGGAGTGGATGGGCTGGGCTGGGCCTCACAAACTGGGAGTCATGCCGCAAGACTGTGAGGTCAACAACGTTGCTCCTCTAATGTGTGTTCTCATCCTACACCGTCTTCCCTACCCACGCACTCCTGCCACTCCCCCATCCCCACAATGCATGTCGAGGAGTAAAGCATGCGGGCAACCAGTGATTCACCACACAAGGCCCCAAAACGGCTTTCAAGTCACTTGGTAACTCAACATCATGTCGCCTTGCTCCCCTCCCTGCGCCCGTACTACCCCACCCCCTCACCACACCAGGTTCGTGGAGGGCAAGTATCCGGGCGACCAGTCGTTCATCCGCCCCATCGACATCACCTTCGACTGCTCCTCCGCACCCACCACGCTAGACAAGCCACCACCACCCCCCTCGCCCTTGGACCTCGCCGTTGCCGCGCACTTGAGAGGCTCCTAACCGCCGATTCCTCACCTCGAAAGGCTCTTGGTTGATGCACAATCGCCTCTTCATCTCCCCACCCCATCCCACAATAAGTGCAGCTCCACTGTTGATCTCAGAGTTGTGCCTTGTTGTTGGCCATCGTTGCCCATAAGGCATCTAGACGGATTCTGACACAATGTGCCTTGTGCTCTTCGCTGTATGCTTCTCAAAAGATGTAGAGATTGATGAACGGAGTTGGATGTAGTTGTTGTACGTAGCTGTATTCAAATAAGTGCATTAAGTAAAATTTATCAAGAGCTGAAATGAAGCCAATTAAAGCTCGCGGCCCAAATTGTTCAACCTTAGTAAGCTAAACCTTAAGCCGCGAGCTTTAAGAAATGTCTTTTAGCGCATCATTTCACAAATCATTTCACAATTCCCAGCCCTTCTCATTTATGCTTAGCAGAATTGCTGCATACTCACCCCTGCGCCTCGCATGCATCCGCATGCGCACTAAACTGCCGTCCATCGCGCGTGCCCGACGTCTTTTTTACATCGCGCTCACCGCCTCCCATCCACCCCGGGCATTGGCTGCGCCCGCGCGCCTTATGGCGCTCAGAACGTTCCGCCTGGCGCCCATTTCTCCCGTAATTGCCCCCCTTGCGCGTTCGACTCTTCCACTCATCGATCGCATCGGCAGTGTCCGCCATTTCAGCGGCGGCGGCCTGCGCGCTGCCTGCCGTTCGATCGACGCAACAATCCAGAGCGGCGAACGCGGAGAGGCGAGCGCGCGAACTTTCGCGCATTTTGATGGCACGCAGACGTTTTCCGCGCGCAGCACGCCCGCGAATTCCCCCCGTGAAGATACCCGCGGCTTGATGGGGGATTACCTTTCCGCCTCCCGCTCCGCCGAAAGCGCGCGGGAGGGAGGCGCCCCCGCGAACGGCGCCGCAACGGGCGGCGACACGATCGCGGCGGTGGTCACTGCCGTGTCGTCCACGTCAGGCGGCGTCGCGATTGTGCGGCTCTCCGGCCCCGCCGCTGTGAGCATCGTGCGGCGCATGTTCCGGCCAGCGCGGAAAGCGAACAGAGCGCGGAAGCAAGGGGGAATGGCCAGGGGAAGCGGAGACCTTGGCGGATGGGCGGGAAGCGCGGGGAACGGAGCGTGGGGAACATATACTGGGGATTTCCGGGGAGAGGGGAGTGAGGGGAACGAGTTGGCCGGAAGCAGCGAGGAAGGGGAGGGGAGAGGCGGAGAGGCGATGGGGAGAAGTGGGGGGAGCGGGCAGGGCGGAGCGGCGGGGGAATGGCGCGCGGAGAGCCACCGAGTGAGCTACGGGCACATCGTGGACGAACAAGGGGCGACCATTGATGAGGTGCGCGCAGGGGATGCAAGGCGTCAGGGTTTAGGGGTCAAGGCGTCAGGGTTTAGGGGTCAAGGCTCAGGGTTTAGGGGTCAAGGCTCAGGGTTTCGGGTTTATGCGCCGTTGCGTGGCTCTGGGCGTGGGTTGATAAGCCTAAGCAATGATGGTGTGTGACTCACCAAGTGCCACGGCTTCCCATGCTGGACGCGCTGAGGATGTGGTGAGGTTTGTCCTGTCGTCCTAAAGTCCACATGCTCTCGTCGTCCACATGCTCTCGTCGTCCACGTGCTCTTGTCGTCCACGTGCTCTCGTCGTCCACGTGCTCTCGTCGTCCACGTGCTCTCGTCGTCCACGTGCTCTCGTCGTCCACGTGCCGAGGACCTGGTGGAGCCTCACCTCATCAACCTGCTCTCGCCTCTTCCCCCGCCTCTCCTCCCTCCTCTCTCTCTCCCCCGCCTCGCAGGTGCTGGTGCTGCCCATGCTGGCGCCGCGGTCGTACACGAGTGAGGACGTGGTGGAGGTGCACTGCCACGGTGGCAGGGTGTGCGCCCACTCCTGCCTCGCCACTGCCGTCCACCTCGGCGCCAGGCTGGCAGGAGCAGGTGATGACGTGGCATGAGGTGATGTGGCCTGCCAGTGTGCTGTCATTTGACATGGTGTGCCATGTGTGTTCCACAGTCAATGCGCACAACACAGTGCTCCGTGTGAGTAAGTGCCCACGCCAGCTCACACCATTGTCGTCCCGTGTCCCCCACTCACTGCACCCACACATGCACCTCCTCACTACCCCCCTCCCCCCTCCCTTTGTCCTCCCCGAGCTGGGTGGCTTTGTCACAGGCGGAGGTTGTGGCAGCCCTCATTCATCCGCTTCCCTTGTACCCCTCTCGCTTCCCTCTAACCCCCCCTACTCTTGTGCATCAGGCGAGTTCACCCTACGCGCCTTCCTCAACGGGCGCGTGGATCCGGCGCAAGCAGAGGCGACGGCTGCCCTCATCCGCACCCCCTCACTCCCCCTTACCCACTCCCCCACTGAGTCCCAGGCGAGTTCACGCTACGAGCATTCCTGAACGGGCGCGTGGATCTGGCCCAGGCGGAGGCCGTGGCGGCGCTCATCCGTGCCGACACCACCGCTGCTGCACGCTCCGCCCTCGCTGCTGTTGAGGTCCGTCCGTAGGAGGAGAGGGGTTGGGGAAGGCGGGAGGGGGTTGGGGAAGGCGGGAGGGGGTTGGTGAAGGCGGGAGGGGGTTGGTGAAGGCGGGAGGGGGTTATGGAGAGGCAGGCATGGTACGGGTGGTGCGCACGCCATTATTCTCGCCAACCACACTTGTGCGCTCTCCTGTTCCCCTGCTCTGCCACATTCACCATTCACACTCCACCATGCTCCATCCACCATCCCATGCTTCCATCCTCTCCTCACCGCCCACCCTTGTCCCCACACTCTCTCCTTGCTTCCCGTGTCACATTCACCATCCACCATGCAATGCCAGGGCGGCTTATCTCGTCACATCCGGGGCGTGCGGGCGGCGTGCATGGAGGTGCTGGTGGACATCGAGGCGCGCATCGACTTTGAGGAGGATCTCCCACCGTTAGATGCTGCGGACGTCAGCCGTCGAATCGACACCATCTGGCAGCAGATCAACGAGGCCCTTGCGACCGCCAATCGCGGCCGACTGCTGGAGTACGGCATTCAGGTGGGGCTGGCTGCAGCACTCATGGACGTTGCAGAACCGCTGTAATACAAGTAACAGATAATGCCAAGTTCCTTGTCAACTCCACTTGTCCACGTTGTCAGCACCTCAAGCGCTCTCCCTCTACAGCTGCCTCCCCTCCCCCTCTCCCTCTGCCCCTCCACAGCATCCCTCGGCAGGTAGCAATTGTGGGTCGTCCCAATGTGGGCAAGTCAAGCTTACGGAACGCGCGGCGCAGTTGGAGAGGGCGATAGTGACGGACACGCCCGGCACCACAAGGGACGTGGTGGAGGCGCAGCTGCACCTGCCACTGTCTTGGTTGCAAGCATTCTCACTCTTCAGCTTCCTCCCCTGCCCTCGCCCCTCCATCCTGCACGGCGTCCCTCAACAGGTGGCAATCGTGGGGCGGCCCAACGTGGGCAAGTCGAGTCTACTGAATGCGTGGACGCAGTCGGAGCGGGCCATCGTGACGGACACGCCCGGCACCACAAGGGACGTGGTGGAGGCACAGCTGCACCTGCCACTGTCGGCGGGGGGCTTCCCCGTGCGCCTGGCGGACACGGCTGGCATCCGCCACACCACCGACGCCGTGGAGGCCATTGGTGCGTTCAGTGCTTGCCTCGTTGCTCTCGCGTTGCTCTTACAGGACTAGTGCGTCAAGGTGGCCTTGAAATGTTCCAAACAATCTTCCCCGTGCGCCTGGCGGATACGGCTGGCATCCGCCACACCACGGACGCCGTTGAAGCCATCGGTGCGTGGACGGCCGCTTCAGTGCTTCGTTTCCCGGCTTAGTGCGTCACGTAGATGTGGTTTGCATGGCGTCCCCAACGTGGTTTGCATGGCGTCCCCAACGTGGTTACGCCTACCATGGATGCCGTTCATGGCTTGGTGCTGAGATGAGTGTGTCAAGTCCTTCATGCTTGCCTTCCCATGCCGCCTCACCAAATCTCCGTCTTTGCTCTCCTGCTGCCTTGTGCATCGTTGTGCCGCCCCTGCATTGCGGTGCTGGCAGGTGTGCAGCGGTCGGAGGCGGCAGCAGCGGCAGCAGACGTGGTGCTGGTGGTGGTGAGTGCAGCAGAGGGGTGGACAGCAGAGGACTCGGCCATTTTCCACCGCATCTCCAGTGCCATGGGCTTGCACGCACACACACAGGGACATGCTGATGAGCATGCGCATGCACATGCACACGCGGATACACAAGGAGCAGTGGAGGAGGGGCGACCTCGGGAAGCAGGAGATGGGTCGGCAGAGACAGCAACAGCAGCGACGGCAGCAGGAGCAGCAGCGGCGGCGGCAGTGGCAGCAGAGACAGAAATAGCATCACGAGCAGCAGCAGGGGCAGAAGCGGTGCTTGCAAGGGCGGAGGGACAGCCGGTGATAATCCTGGTGGAGAACAAGAGCGACCACGCACACCCCCACGGCCTGCACGTGCCCCCGGCAGTGCAGCGTGCGGTGTGGCGGCGAGTGGTCACCAGCGCCACCCTGCGCACCGGGCTGGACGACCTTGAAGCCACCGTGGCGGCAGCCGTGGGCGGGGGGCTGGTGGCGGAGGAGGGGCAGCAGTGGGCGGTGAACCAGCGGCAGCAGCAGCAGCTGGTGCGCGCAGCTGAGGCCGTGGGGCGGGTGAGGGAGAGCATTGGGGCGGGGCTGGCGCTGGACTTCTGGAGCATTGACCTGAGGAGCTGCATCCTGGCCCTGGGGCAGGTGAGCGGTGAGGAGGATGTGACGGAGGAGGTGCTCTCCAACATCTTCAGCAAGTTCTGCATCGGCAAATAAGGAGGGGCGCCTTCTCGTCGTGAATGTGACGGAGGAGGATGATGTGCGTTGAGGAGGATGTGACAGAGGAGGGTGCTCTCCAACATCTTCAGCAAGTTCTGCATCGGCAAGTAGGGGCGCATGATTTCTGATTGCTGTGTAATGCATTGTAACACTACTTCTGTAGTGATTTATGCTGTGGAAATTGACTATATTTTATAAGGCCTGTCGTTCTTTAGGTTTCATTGTCAAGTGTTACATCGAAGGTTACAGGGGGCCGGTTGGGTAAGGGCTGTTCGAGGTGAGACGCGTTGAGCCCTGCCTGTGCCAGCTGCGCCAGAAGAATGCGGCCCCGCCTGTTGCGGTAGTGCGGAGAGAACCGCCCCCTCACGCGCCGTGCCACGGTCCGCCACACCATGTCCTCTGCTCCTCCGGGTCGTGGTGGGAAGGAGTAGATGAAGTGATGCGCCACCTGTGGGGGAGGGATGTGGGGTGGGGTGGGAGGTACGTTGGCGGATAGGGTAGCTGGGGTGCACTCATGCCATGCGTCCTGCTCCTCTTCTCTCGTGCCCCGCCACACCATATCTTCTGCCTTGCCGGGTCGTGGGAGGAAGTAGTAGATGAAGTGATGCGCCACCTGTGGGGGAGGGATGTGGGGTGGGGCAGGAAGGGGTGGGGTTGGGAGGGGTGAGGAGTGGGTAAGGAGACCTGTTCATGCCATGCGGCCTGCTCTGCTCCCCCATGCCCTGCCACACCATGTCCTCTGCTCCACTGGCCGTGGCGGGATGAGGAGGAGTGGGCTGGTTAGGAGAGGCAGCACAAGGCACAGCAGGGTGGTGGGGTGCGCTCATGCCATGCGACCTGCTCCTCTTCCCTCTTCCCCTGCGCCACGCCACCACACCGCACCATGTTTTGAGTCGTCTCTAAAGCCGCCACACCGCACCGCTTACCCCCTGGAGGCAGGGAGAAGAGGAGGTGGTGAGGGTCCTGCCAGGGGGGTCTGCGTCTGTGGGGAAAAGAGGGAGGAATGGGGAAGGGGGAGGGCGTGTTGTGGTGCGGTCATGCGAGTAGCAGTCATTGCAAGCACAGCACCGACACCATTATATCAGCCTGTGTGCGTGCTGCTAGTGCCAATGGTGGCACGTGCACCGCACACACCCAGAGAAGCTGTCAAAACACACGAGGACAACCTTCTGTTCCTGCACCTTTACGCGCCTAAAAAAGCTGTCATACTTCCCTCCACACACCGCACACACACATGGAGCAACCCTCACATCTCACCTCTCACGCTGCCCTGCACATGCGAACGAACCCATTGCACGCACAACGCCCCCCTCTCGCCCTCTCACCTTCCTCATGGCTTCCCACTGCTGGCGCCACACGGCCTCTGTCTGCGCGTGCAGCACGCCTAGAATGTACCCCGGGCGCACAGCGAGGGCGGCAGGGAGGAGCAGCGAGAAGGCGGTGTAATCAATGACGTCCTCAAAGGGTGGGTCGAGGGCGTCGCTGATGATCACTGGGATGCACCCGGAGAGCACGGCGTCAAACAGGCGACAGCTGGACGAGGTGTCACCTGCCTAGGTTGGGAGAGGGTGTTCGGGGGGGAGGCAGCGGGGAGGAGAGGAGGTGGTGGGGGAGTGGTGGCTTTGTGAAGCTGGGTGAAAAGCAAGGGCGAATGAGGGCAAGCGAGGGGCAGTGGTTGTGTGTGCTTGCCTCACCTCGCGGCACCAGACAGTATTTAGCGCGGCGCATGGCGGTGGCGGCCTGAGCCGTCATGCTGCTGTTCTCCGCCCGCCCCACCGTGAATTGCACCCCGGGCTGCCCCTGCAGCTCCCGCTGCAATTGCTGCCGAATGATGCCGCCCTGTGGGAGAGAGGGGAGAGAGAGGAGGGGGGAGAGCGAGGAGGCGGAGAGAGTGAGGAGACGGAGAGCGAGGAGGGGGAGAGCAAGAGGGGGCGATTAAGAATAGGGAGAAGGGTGCAAAAGGCGAATGAAGGGATGGTGAGAAGTTGCCATGAAGGGAACGGGCAGAGCTGCATGCGTGCTGCGGTGGGTGGGGCATGAGAGAGTGAGAGAGAGAGAGAGAGTGAATGGTACTGACCCCCCAGCGGTCGGTGGTGCCTTGGAAGAAGAGCAGCAGGGGGCGCGAGGCCCAGGAGCCACGGTCGTGAGAGAAGGGCGCCACCAGCGGCACGTACGGCACTATCACATCGCGGTCGTACGATGCTGCCTGTGAGGGGTAGGGGTGATTCGGGGGCAGACGACGGGAAGGAAGGCAGCACAGGAGCGCCAGGAGGGCGTTGAATGGAAAGGGGGCAGCACACAGAGCAGACATGAAGGGCAGCGAGTCAGTGCACATGTGGGTTCAGTGCAGTTGATATGCACGTGCTGCAGCACATGCAACATCACACATCTCTCACCTGAACCCCGTGCAGGTCTCACCTGCAGAAGCACATACATCTCATCTCACCTGAGCCCAGTGCAGGTCGAGGTCAACAGCGAGCTTGATGGCAGCAGCGAGGGGCAGCGAGTGGTTGAACATGGCCAGCGGGTACACGCACGGCACCACCAGGGGGGGCATGCGCCCACCCCCACTCCCACTGCTGCTAGCTCTGCTGCCACTTCCGCTGCTGCCGCTGCCGGTGCTGCTGCTGCCGCCCCCACTGCCGTGGGTGGTGGTGGCGGCGCTGGTGGCAGGTGTGGCGGGTGTGGCAGCGTGGCAGAGGGCAAAGCGCGCGATGATGGGGTCCAGGATGTCACTGCCGTGGCGGGGGGGGATGCGAGGGGGAAGGGGAGTGGGGGAATAGAGCAAAAAGAGAGGGGAGAATGCAGGCCAGGCTTGCCTCTCATGAACACCCATGAGGGATACGTCAGCAAGAACAGAGGGGTGAGAAGTGGTGGTGGTGGTGGCAGTGGAGGAGGCAGTGGAGGAGGCAGTGGAGGAGGCAGTGGAGGTGGCAGTGGAGGAGGCAGTGGAGGTGGGAGTGGAGGAGGCAAGGCAGGCACCTGGCGTTGGTGCGGAAGGCGAGGGTGGACCAGTAGGGCACCAAGATGGCTTCTGCGTCCTCCACTCGCTGCACGCGCTGCACTGCCCCTGTGCCTGGCGGCCTCAGGCATGCACCACGGATGTGGGGAAGAGACACGGTGGAGAGCAGAGCAGCACGGAGGGGAGAAAGAGAGTGAGGGGCAAGGTGGTGCCGTGGCGGGTTGAGAAAGAGCAAGGTGAGAGGCAAGCAGAGAAAGTGAGGGTAAGTGTAAGTGCAGTGGAGGAAGGAGAGGGGGGTTACCGGAGAGGAGGGAGAGTGTGAGGAAGTACTCGGCCGCATGCTGGCGGTAGTAGGGGTAGTGCGGGTAGCACGGCACACTCACGCCCACCGGCCCTCCTGCCCCTGCCAGCACTGCTCGCTCCACCGCTGCCGCCTCAGAAGATGCTGCTACTGGCGGCGATGGTGAGAGCGGTACAGGCAGGTCCGGCAGGTCTGGTATGCCGAGGAACGGCAGCAGGTGCGGTGAGAGGGCGGTGCGGCCACTGCTGCCGGCGCTGGCAGGGGATGCAGCAGGGGGGAGGGGCGAGGTGGGGAAGGCAGAGGCGGAGGTGGAGGATGGGGAGGAGGCAGAGGGGGAGGGAGGGTGCAGCCAGGAGAGCGGCAGGGCGTGGGGCGAGTGGAGGCGCACGGTGCATGGCGGGGGAGGCGGCGCGGACGAGGGCAGGGCCGCTGGTGGCAGCAGCGACTGCGCCCCTTTCAGTGCGCGCATGCGGGGGAAGGGCGGCGGGGGATGGGGAATGAAATCGGGGAAGAGGGAAGAGGGAAGGAGATGGAGGGGTGGGTAAGAGCGGTGTGCGGCAAGGGAGGAAGGAATGGAGTCTAACCACCTGCGACAAGGGGGAGAGGGCCAGGGTATAGACGCTAGAGCCAGGGAAGAGGCTCACGATGAGCGAGAGAGGGCCACGCGGGGCGCGAGTCACCTGCGCGAGCGGGATGAGGTCGACGTTGTACGGCGCCGGCAGCAGCACCACATACACCCTCAGCGCCCGCTCCCCCTCGCCGCTCCCAGCGCCCCCTTCCGGCGACTGTGGGCGAATTAGAGCGCGCAGCAACGACGCCGTCAGCAGCAGGAGGAGCAGCGCGACGCACGACGCGGGGATGGAGCGCCGCAGCCACGCGCGCGACGCTGACGTGGAACTTCCGCCACGCGCTGCGCGAGAAGGCGCGTGGGATCGGGCAGGGTGGTTGGAAGAGGTGGGCGTGGATCGCGGAGCAAGGCGGAGGAGAGACGGCGCCATGGCTGCCGCTGGAGGGGCGATACGGACGGCATTAATCTGCGATCAGTCTGCCAGGCATGCGTGCGTTGGGAGGGAATTATGGTATTTCGGACAGCGATGCTGACGGACGTTGCAGCACATACGATGCGAATGCTCGAGGGCGGCAAGGACGAGGTGGAAAGACTCGCGAGTGGCTGCACTGGCGCGATGGAGCTGGACTCGACGGGGTGATTGTGGTGGCAGCCGCAATTGGTGCTGATGGTGGTGGGGTGGGGTGCACTGCATTCTGGCTTGGGGTGGGGAGCGGAAGCGAGATGGGGCCCGGTTTAGAGGTTCAGAATAGCCTGATGACCATACAGAGGAACATATAGTCTTCTATAAGAGTTCCCTTTGGTCAAGGGCTAGAAACAAAAAAGGCAAAAAAGAGTGGGGGGTGGCGGGGGCAGGGAGGGATGTACATCGGAACATTTATCTATTTCTCATTTTCGAAACTTATGGCGACCTACGCTACGTGTTACAATCCCAAGTGGGACTTAGCAAAGGATTGCTCAGGGTTGATCGCAGAGTGGTATTGCAGCGGAAGTTTAGACCTCAGGTCAGAGTGAATGTAAATGACTGAGATGATGATAACATGCATACATCGGGTTTATATAAGAGTACAAGGGAATATGAAAGGACCTAGGCTAGCCATGTACTCTAAGGGGTACATTCCCTTATTGTGACTGAATTCAAAAAGAAAACCGTGCGACGCGGGAACCCGTTTCATAACCTGTTCCCGCTCTTTTCATTTTAGTTGTTTGCATCGGTCTTGGTCTGACAGTTGCTGTGTCGCTTCGGCTCTTTCTGACTCCTCAACTTCGTACTCGGTAGAGTCGGCTCCTGCAGCATACAGGAATGCCTTCTCATAAAACTTCACATCGTAACACTCCCCTTCATTCCTGGGTGCAGATGGAGTTGACTCGTTTGACTACTCCGGTGAGGTCAGAGCAGTGATTGTACTGCTGACGTGGTAGGCGCTTGGTGAGGAAATCTGCTGCCATCTCGGTGGTTGGGCAGTAAGCGAGGTCCACCTTGCCTTGGTCGATTTCGTCTTTGACGAAAAAGTATCGAAGCGCGATGTGCTTCTGTCAAATGTTGTAGCCTGTAGTGAGGTTTGTCTTAGGGGGTACAGAAGTTAGGGTTTGTCATATGTACCCCAACCAACATCAATGCAACACCCATTCCTCATTCTGACATGGTATCAGCTAGGTTAGGATCCTGTGGGATCCCGTTCCTCCGTTCTCCGTTCGTACCTCCCGAGCCTGATCCTACCTCTCGTTCGTACCAGTTTAGTTGTTACCGCGCCTAGTACCGAGCCTAGCATCATCTCCCCCGTCGCGTCGCGCCCGTTCCCCCCGTCGCGTCGCGCCCGTTCCCCCCGTCGCGTCGCGCCCGTTCCCCCCGTCGCGTCGCGCCTGTTCCCCCCGTCGCGTCGCGCCCGCCTGTTCCCCCCCTGTCCCGTCGCGTCGCCCTGCCCTGTCCCGTCGCCCTGTCCCGTCGCGTCGCCCTGTCCCGTACCGTCGCCCTGTCCCGTCGCGTCGCCCTGTCCCGTCCCGTCGCGTCGCCCTGACCCGTCGCGTCGCCCTGTCCCGTCCCGTCCCGTCCCGTCGCCCTGTCCCGTCGCGTCGCCCTACCCCGTCGCGTCGCCCTGCCCTGTCCCGTCGCCCTGCTCCGTCGCGCCGCCCTGCCCCGTCGCGTCGCCCTGTCCCGTCGCGTCGCCCTGTCCCGTCGCGTCGCCCTCCCCGTCGCGTCGCTCCCGCCCTTTCCCCCGTCGCGTCGCCCTCCCTAGGCCCTAGCCCGTCGCCCTCCCTAGGCCCTGGCCCGTCGCCCTCCCTAGGCTCTGGCCCGTCGCCCTACCCTAGGCCCTGGCCCGTTGCCCTACCCTACGTTTTGGCCCGTCGCCCTAACCCACTCTTCCGCTGCGACTGAGTCCTCTTCCCCCCCGGTTGTTACTCGCCTGTTCGTTCGCGTTGGTTCTCACTATGGCGACTCCGCGAGTTCTTCGTTTCGACGCTGACGGTAGACCCCTTGACTTTTCCGTCTGGCTTCTTCGCGCTCGTCGTCTGTTAGAGAGTCAGGTCCAGGGGGGAGAGACCCTCTGGTCACACGCTACTGGTGACCTCCCCGAGCCCCCCGAGCCTACCGCTTTAGGCCCTGCTCCTGACGACACTGCTACGGCTCGCTTTGCCCGTCAGCGCGCTGACCGGACGGCTTGGACGTCGCGTGACGCTGCGGCCTGCATCGCACTCAGCAGCCTCCTCCCTGAGTCCGAGGAGGTCCACTTTACTCAGGTTCGCACCGCTGCTGCGTACCTCACTGCGATTAAGGCCCGCTACTCTACTCCCGCTACTGTCTCTCTCGGCCGTCTTTTCCTCCCGTTCCTGTTTCCTGATCTTGCCTCGTTTGAGCGCTCTGCTGACTTGATCGCTCACCTCCGCTCGCTCGACGCTAGTTACCGCGCTGCTTGCACTGAGGCACAGCTTGCACTGCTTCCTCCCCCCATGGCGATTACTGTCTATTTCATCGCCACTAGCCTCCCTGACCGCCTTGCCTCAGTTCGTGACGCGCTTCTGCTGAAGCACCCTAGTGAGCTGACTATCGAGGTCCTTGAGTCTGCACTCAAGGACGTCGAGAGCAACCTTCGTTCGGTAGCTGCCGCCTCTGGTACTGTGTCCCCCCCACTCTTCCACGGGTGCACAGTACCGCAGTTACCCACCTTCACTGCCTCTCTTGCCACTGCCGCTACTGATGCGACTGCGGCTGCTGTTACGACTGCGTCGCGGTCCCGCGGCAGGGGGGGCAAGAAAGGTGGTTCCGGTGGAGGTGGAGGCGGAGGTAGCGGAGGTAGTGGGGGTGCTGTTGCGACTGGCGGTGGTGGGAGTGCAGCGTCTGGAGAGACCCCTCGTGCAGCGGCTGGTGACTCCGCTGCACCTGCTGGTGGCGGTGACCCTCGAGCTCGTCAGTCGCCTCCTGTACTGCCGGCCCCGCTAGGTGGAGCAGCGGCGTGGTACCAGGCTCAGCGTCAGCAGCACCTTCAGCAGCAGCAGCAGCCCCTTTCCTCCCAGCAGCCTCAGCAGCAGCAGCGTCAGCAGCTGGCTCCGGGGTCGGGGCTGCGTCAGCCCCAGCGCGGTGCTGCTTACCCTCCCTGCCCCTACCAGGTTCAGACAGGTCCTCGTCGGGGCCACCCTTGTGGCCGCTTTCACCCCCCTGGTCAGTGCTTTGCTCAGCTCACTGACACGGTCCGGTTGATCTACGGGGTTGGTGGTCCTGCTCCTGACTGGCTTCCTCTGGTTCAGCGCCACGGCTCCGCTCTGTGGGGCATGTCTGCTGAGCAGTTGGTTGATCTGATTAGTGCTCCTCATGCTATGTATGCTGTTGTTGACTCTAGTGTTTCTGACTCTGTTTACTCTGGTGTTGTTAGCTTAGGTGCTAGTCTTGCTCAGTTGCCTGTTGCTAGTGTAGGTACTTGTGTAGACTCTAGACCAGCGACTACCTCAGAGGACGCTTCGCTGTCGTTCACACTGGACTCTGGAGCCTCCCACTGCTTCTTTCGGGACAGCACGACACTTACACCACTTCCTGCGCCTGTTTCTGTAGTGTTGGCTGATCCCACTATAGGACCAGTCACTGCACGTCACACTACCACTTTACCGTGTCCTGCTGCTCCCTCCGGGTCTCTCACTGGGTTTCACGTCCCCTCGTTCTCCCGGAACTTGGTGGGCGTGCGACCCCTCGTGAGTCAGCACGTGGGTGTGTGGTTTGAGCCTTCTGGAGAGACTGCGGTGTGTGTTGACGGAGACTCTTACCAGCCTCTTGCTACCTTTACTGCTGAGCCGGGCTCGGGTCTCTACACTCTTCACACTGGCCCGCGTGCGCCGCAGCAGCAGCCGCAGCAGCAGCAGCAGCCGCAGCAGCAGCAGCAGCAGCAGCAGCAGCAGCAGCAGCAGCACCAGCAGCAGCACCAGCGGCCGCACCAGCAGCCCCCCCTACTGCCACTGCCCCCGGTTCCCCCCCCCGTTCGGGTCCCCGCGTCTCACCAGGTTGCTACGTCCCCCCAGGTGTCTGTGTCGTGTCAGGTTCCTACGTCTGTTCCAGTCGCTGCGTCGTGCTCCTGCCGGTCGCTTGCCCACCCCACCGTTCTGTGGCATAACCGGATGGGGCACCCGTCCCTTCCACGTCTGCGCGCTATGTCTAGTCAGCGTCTTGTCCTAGGCCTCCCACGTGTCTTGCCGTCGCTGCCGCCTTCGCCTGCGCCGCCGTGTCGTCCCTGCGTCGAGGGTAGGCTGCGCGCCACCCCTCACTCCTCCTCCCTTCGTCCGGCCACCGAGCCTTTTGAGACGCTTCACTTGGACGTCTGGGGCCCAGCCCCTCGTCTAGGCCCTGAGCGTGAGCGTTACTTTCTGGTGGTAGTTGACGACTTCTCCCGCTACACCACAGTGTTCCCTTTGGCGAAGAAGTCTGAGGTGACTTCTACGCTGATCAGGTGGTTGCTCACCACTGAGGACACTCGTGGTCGTCGTGTCAGCTGTCTCCACTCCGACCGTGGGGGTGAGTTTCGCTCCGGCATTCTCGCTGGATTCTGTCGCGAGCAGGGCATTCGTTAGTCCTGGACGCTTCCAGAGTCCCCACAGCAGAATGGGGTTGCTGAGCGCCGCATAGGCCTGGTCATGGAGATCGCCCGCACCTCCCTGACTCACGCCTGTGCCCCCCATTTTCTGTGGCCCTACGCGGTCAGGTACGCCGCGCACCAGCTGAACCTCTGGCCACGTGTCTCTCGACCAGAGGTTTCACCGACCAGTCTTTGGACAGGGTCCCCTGGTGTTGCGTCGCGGTTTCGTGTCTGGGGGTGCTTGGCTCTTGTCCGCGACACCTCCGCGGACAAGCTCTCGCCTCGTGCCGTCCCCTGTGTCTTCCTTGGTTTCCCTGAGGACTCCTCTGACTTCACCTTTTACCACCCTCCCTCTCACCGGTTCTTTGACTCA